TTAGGCTATGGATGTGGAGTTGTTTTTGGACTGCTGATGGGATATCTTGTCTTCCGAACAGGAAAACCAAAATGGTTTGTGTCTTTGTTTGATGACCGACCTAGTCAAAGTGGAAGGAAGATGAGGAAAGCTAGAAGACTTGTTCAAAGAAGAAGGTAGTTCTAGAGTTGATGTTTTAGAGCTTTTGATTTAATGTTTCTTGAATAAGTGCTTTCGCATTTGAAGTTCTTGTTATGGCTGGCATTAGCTTGTCTAAAAATGTCAGCCTTCTCTTGTCTTTATTGTGCTTTGTAATTTTGTCTTTCTTTATTGTAAAATATATTTGAAGGTTCAAGCTGTTAATCTTTCTTTATTAATTTACTTCCTTAAGCCGGTTGGTATCAAACAGGTAGCGAAGGTAACTCAAGTTTTTTATTTTTTTTATTTTTATTTATTTATTTATTTATTTTTTTGAAAATAGGCAATGGAGGTATCTCAAGTTTTGTTCATTACAGTTTTGTTCTTGAGATTCCCATTAGCATGGTCATAAAAATTATTGCTTTACATTGTCAGGTTGAAGGAGAAGTCTGAATTTTGAGGTGGGATTTTGACGGAATCATTTCATAATCGTGAAACCTGGATTTCTGGATGGTTATCGTCCTAGGATATAACTGTAATTGTAAAATTGGGAAGGGTAAGTCCTGTGATTTTGACTTCAGTCCCTCTCTCCCATTGGCTTTCAGCAACATCTTCCTTCTACAACAGACAGAACCCAACGGAAGTAGCCTCCCTTTGGCGAGATGAAGGGACATTATCAGCATCACAGACTCAGCTCACTTTCCCCTCTTTAGGGTTCCTCTTCTATTATGAATCCTAACTCCTCCGTTCCATCTGCAGCAAATCCATCAATACCCCTATTATCTTCCCTCAATGTCTATTTTTACCTCATCACCAATCACGCACAGTTCCAACAGTAACAAGGTGGAATAGGATTCAGAAAGGGAATACAATTTTGAATCTTTTTTTTTTTTTTGAAGTTTTTAACATTTTCCTTTAGCTATAAGCCTATAACTATTGTGGGGGTTATGGCACCTGAATCCGCTGTTATCAAGCGACCCTCCTCCGTTTCCCGATCAAAGTGTTCGTCTTTCGTGCAACACAATTGTTGATTCAGAAAGTGCAACTATTGTTGATTTCCAACATCTGTGGGTCTCACAAGGTAGGGAATTGGTAATTCATCTCTAAGGCTTTGTCTCCCTCAAGAAACTTGTTGAAAGATTCTGTTTACAGGGTACCTGTTTTTGAGCAACTTGTTGACAACATAGTTGGCATGGCATACACAATGGATTTCTTGATTTTGTTCGGAAGGCCCAGGCAATTGCCCCCTTTAGATATGGATAACTTTAGATATTGGATTCTATAATTCCTGAGCAAAGGGATGCTAAGAAAACTCATTGATGAAGTCCAAAACAAATTGGTGTTGTACATGTGCTGCTAATTTTCTACAGACTCAATTGATCTAGATGCTGCTTTATTTCGCCAGTTTCCAGTCTCATTTAGTTTGGCATGTGCTTTTTCTGTATTTTCCACGTGACCAAGGAATTTCATGTCACTTCTCACGTCATGTAGATCTTTCTTTACCAGGTGCAGCTCTACTTGAGTCTTAAGTGATTCATTTATACATATGTATAATGATTCTCAAGTGATTTTTATTTTATGCATTTGTTGCTAATTGTATTAACAGAAGGAGATCTAGAAGAAAACTGGCTATATTGTAATGAGAGCAGAGGGAGTATATGACGTTCATGCCCATACATCTATTTATTGGCTGAGGACTTGAATATCGAAATGCCAGAGGTATATTATTCTATACTATTACTGGTTTTCATTGTTATGGTGTATAGAGCGCTGAATGGAGAATTTAAACATTAAAGCTAAAGACTTAATTATTAGGATCATTTCTACCTTTGATTATTTCTTGTATTGTACACTTCTCCTGCTATTTCCACAGGCTCATTAAAATTTCATTCTCTGTGTAATACCCCAAAATTTCTAGAGCATCAAGTGAGAGTTAGGGACCTAATTTTGAAGAAATACTATTAATGAACTTAATGGCTAATATGTTCAAAGTTCAAGGACTTAAAAGAAAGGAAATTAGGATAAGGATCAGCTGATATTTTGATTTCTTTTCTTCCCAGCCATACACGTTTCTGCTCTGCTCTTCTTCTTCGTGCAGCCCGACAAGCCCCCCCCAAAGCCACCGACTCCTTTTTCCTTTGAAAACCGAAAAAGGGGCTTGAAATTCTCCTTCTTTCTTGTTCAATAACAAGATTTAGGACCTAGAACACTCTCCTAAACCCAGAAAATCCCAGATCTGCGCTGTTCTTCCCCTTGCTGTCCGTCGGCCTCTGCTATCCGTGATTTCTGGTCTTTTCCTGCTCCCGTGACATCCCTTCCCCTCTCCCGATCTCTGCCAAGCTCGCCAGATCCGGCTGCTATTGCTGGAAATATTCTGGTAAGTTAACAACCCTCCAAGCTTGAAATTTTATCAATTTGTTGCTGCCCTGTGTTGTCCGAAAACCCTCTGTTGTGCTGTCCGAATTTCTGCAGAAATATGGGATAATTGTGGGTAGCATAAAATGGGTTTTGGGTGGCTAATTTGTGTAGTTGTCCCGGGAATCATCTTTGCTGTTTGAAGTTGTTTTTATGCCATTTTAGTTATCCTGGAGAAATTGTTCTGATTGATTGCTGGAAGTAGGGGGATGAGTTGGCAGCCCTTAAATGTGTTTAGTTGTTTAAATTATGTGGAAATTACTTGAATTGGCTGCTGTGATGTTTTGTGTGAAAATCCCGTGTGTGTGAGTTGTGGTTTGCCAAGCCATGCTCTCCTGCCCGTGAGAAATGGGGAGTTTTGGTAGATTAAGCTTAGTTTAAGTGTAAATTAACTTGATTGGGGTTTTGTTTGGTTGTGAGAACGTGATGGGAAAATGAAAAGGAAATTGGTTATTAATTCTTGAATATTTTGATTAGGTTCTTGATTGTTCTGTCAGTTTAGTACGTGAATTGAGTGCTCAGTTCTGCGGAATGAGGTAAGTAAATTTATGGTAATGCCCACACTGTTTTTTTAAAGGATGTTTTGATTTATTTTTGAAGTGGTGGCGGGACTAAACCCGTTTTATGCAAAAGTAAGTATGACTGATTTGAAGTGAAGTTTTATGCTTTTCATTAAATTGAGCATGCCTACTTGAAACTTGATTGACTGTCCTGATGACCTGGAAGAGATTGTGAATTGTGATTTTCTGTTAACTTCAGCCTGTTTTGTCTCCGATGTGGTCATGTTTCTGTAACCCTACTAGTGGGGGTTAAACACTAGTAATTTCTGTTGCCCGCTAGTGGGAGGTTAAACACTAGCACATGTCGACATGTTTCTGTTAGAACCGGTTCATTCCTGTAATCCTACTAGTGGGAGTTAAACACTAGAAATTTCTGTTGCCTGCCAGGGGGATTTAAACACTGGCCATGACCTATAGAGGAGACGTCTATTTCGTTCCTGTACTTGTATCCGTTTCCTGGTTACACTTGTTGGCATGCTATGAGTTTAATTGACTACTACTGAACTGAGTTTGATTCTGCATGAACGGTTTGTCATGAAACGTTTGTTATTGAACCGAATTTGATTTCCGCATTAACGGTTTATCAGTGAAAGTTTTGTTATACTTACATGGTTTATCTGGCATGCTAAAAGTTTTACCCAAGGGCTATCCATATTTTACTTACTGAGTTATCTCACCTCGTTTTCTCGTCCACCATTTCAGGTAGTGTGCCCCGAGACTCAGAAATCAAGGGGAGTGACGTGATAAAAGGCTAGCCACTTGAGATTTGACATAGATTCTAGATACATGTATACCACGCTCTTGTAAGTTAGATTTTAATTGGAAATTTTATGGTATCAAAACTGATTTTGTTCGGTAAGTTTCGAGCCTTGTGCATTTGTGGGACCCGTCTCACGAGTGCACGGCGTCTGTCGCGCCTCGGATTCGGGTTCTGGGGCGTGACACTCTGCCACATAGTAGTTGAACGCAGGAATCTTAAAAATAGCCAGGCTTATAAACTTGATATTTCTGATCCCAGTTGCAAGTGAAATTCTGTTTATTGTGACTGTTGTGGGATTATTATGGTTAAGTGATTGCTGCTTGAAAAATTAAAAAACAAATAAAAAAAAAAGGAGAGAGGATAAAGTAAATGGTTAAAATTACAATGTGGTTTTCAATTCATTTTGAAGTAAAGGCACAGTTAATCTCACACTGTAAATAACTATCAAAATGTTCCTTTAACTTTTAAATTTCATATTTCTAATTCATTGTTCTTTGTTCACCATGCTGTTCTATAGGAACATCAGTATGAGGCAGTATCTGGTTTTGTATGCGAAGTATTTGGATACATCCCTAGGGCTGGTGAGCCCATCAAAGTTGTCCTCAAAAGGGATAATCAAAGATGATGATGATAAGCATGGTGAGGATGGATCTGATCATCAAGATTTGAAGGAAAGGCATCAAATATATAGACTTGAGCTAAGGTAAAAGCACTGAATGGATTTCAGTAAAAAACCTTAGAAAGAAAAAAAACGTAGCTAGCAATCATGTAGTCTCTTGACTCTCTTCTACATGTAACTTTCTAAAATCAATGTTATTATGGGGGCATGCATTTGTTCATATAGGAATCTGCTTTTATATTGTTCATCCTATGACATGCTTCATTTGGTGGCTTAGTTTGCTAAATGAAACTTGGCAACTGATAATAATAATTCATATGCTCCGTTCTTGTGTAACATTCAAGTTTAACATTTTTTCTGAAAAATAAATTTTCCATGTGATAACTGTATAGGCTAATAATTCTAAATCTTGAGCACACCATTGAATTACTTATTAATGTGAGTGAAATGTTGTCCCTGGTGCAGATATTAGTTGCAAATGCCCAAAAGCTTAGTGTTGTTCGTTTTGAGCAGATAAACAATGGGGAAGCAATGTCAGAGGTCAAAGATGTAACTCAATTGATTCCCAAAATCATGAAGAGGAAAGGGAACGGTGACAAATGGGATAACATTACCTATGTTGAGAATGCATTTCAAAAGGGACAAAAGAATCGCCTTTTTGATCGCTATGTAGTTGCTGAAGATACATAAGATAATGGAAATTGGCTACATTGCATATTCTGTTTTCTTTTTCTTTAGCTCCTTTTTTTCCTTTGTCATATTCTTTCTGCACCATGAAGAAGAAACGGAAGGAAACCACAGGATAACTAGAGAGACTAACATTGTAAAAGTTTTTCACAGATGAGGTATTAACATCTGAAGTATCATCATGGTCAGTTGTGCATATGACAGTGTCTCTGGACCATAAATTCTCCAATATTGGAGTTTGAATGGTCTGAACCTGGGTATTCCTGCTCTGCTGACGAGCTTCTCTTTTGAGTGTAAACTGAAGAGGCAGCTCTGACTGAAGCATGAGTACAGGCTTCTTACTGAGATCACTCCAAAAAGTATAGCTGTTCACAATCCCACAGAGGTGGCTAGATTTGTGGTAAGTTTTCCATTTAAGTTTCCATGTTCTTCTTGAACTTGCCACTAAAACTTTGCTGAAAAACTTTTAACCTTCTCTTTAAAACTCCATGGTCTATGTTGCTATTTAATTCTTTTCTACTTAGCTGATGACTGCTAGCAAACTAAAATTATTTGGCTAATGCCATTTGTTGTGTCATTGGTCAGGCCAGTGGCATGGCTTTCCTTGATACTACATCTAGTTGGAAGAATTGTTACTTATTTATGGGTTTTATTTCTTGATAATTGGGTGTTGTTTAATTATGTATGTAAAGTGCAATTTCTTTGTTTGAAAAAAAAATAAATTTATGGAGTCCTCTGTCCTCTGTTTCAAGTCTAAGCCTTTGCTCTCTTTGCTGCTACCCTTAGGTCTTTGATTTATGTTTGTAGGGATAAGGATTTTGTCAAACTTGGTTATTGGTTTTTGGATTCTTGCTTTGCCTTCAATTTTTTGGTGTTTAGGGAATTGATACTTTTGGAAGAAAATGGATATTTTCAAAGTTATTGGGGGTATA